ATCTCTATTTTGCAGGCGCTGTGGCACTGCATTAGGTCCACAGGGCCTGGATCTCACTAGGGAGGGCATTCCATCAGGCCGGCACCAGAGCTGAGAAGGCTTTAGCTCTGGTTGAGGCTAAGCGGATCTCTTTCAGGCTGGGAATCACCAGAAGATTTTCATCCACCCCCTCTTTGGGGGACATACCAGGAGAGATGGTCCCGTAGATTTACACATTTACACATTATGTTTTAAATTGGCTATGTCTTTGACGCCTGCTCTGTCTTCCAGTCTGACATGAGCTGTGGGTTTTCTACAATTTCCACACAAGCAGGGCCCAATTCAGGTCATGACCATGGTATGTAGGGGAAAGGGGTTTTAGCTTTCACATCATTTCCACAACGTGAAATGATCCCATTCGCCATTGCTATTGTGTTGCTATTTGCCCCAATGGGGAAACCCACAAGTAACTGAGGGGAATGAGCCACTCACAACTGACTGAAAGACAGAGTGAGGACCTCAAATGCAAACTGCCTTGACTGTAACGTGTGAAGTGGCCTTCATTTGTAGAATGTAAATTACATTTTATTAGTAGGCGTGTGGTCATTCCCACACTGACTTTAAAAACAGTTCCATCAGATTGAATGGATGTGTCAAAAGCTCTGATCAGTTAAAATATTCAAACCAAAACAGAAAGGAAAAAATCCGAACTCAAGGTTGGCTGAGAGAAAAAATATGTTGAGAAATAAATTAAACGAAATATATGTATTTCTTATAAAGTACATTACATTACAAAGCTCTTCCACCAGGCCTTTGATTAGGAGCCGCTACCAACAACATTGAACTGGGATAAGGCCCTTCTTGACAACAGCAACTGCCTGCGACGTCAACAGGGACATCCTCCGGCCATACTTTTTGCTTTATTTGTTACATCGTGGCCTATAACTACCACCACTAGCACTTTAACTGTATTTATTTGTGACTTGCTATTTGTAACATGTATGAATTTTAAGGCGTTTTGTATCTATTGAATTGTTGTTTTACTGCATTTTAACTTTTAATGTAAGCTGCCCTGAGCCCGCTTCAGCTGGAAGGGCGGGATACAAACTGAATTAAATAAATAAATACAATAAATAAATTAAAACTATACTTGAAAAACATTGGCCCAATCCCCCCTTGAAGTGGTGAATATTTGAACTAAGAAGTTCTGAATCTATATAACCGGATACATTTTGATATTTCTAGGTTAAAAGCCTTAAAACAATGAAACAGGACCAATAATTCAATATATCCAGACTGATAACGTTGACCCACATTAAAACAGGACCAAATGCATTCCAGCTCCAAGGCTTCCTCAGTGGTCAGTTTTTTGTTTATACATGCACACTGTAAGATATAAACATGTGTTAGTGCCAAGGCACATTAATTATAAGGCATTCCAGATATCCAGTGCGACTGACAGTTTAAGGATGATACATATATTCACACGCTCTGAGAGTTATGATAGTCATAGTCAGAAAGAACGATTAAACCTACATTCTTGGATGTGTGTGCTTAAAAGTTTAAGATAGCCCTCATACAACCCAATTCTTTTGCCACACAGGATATCTGGAATGCCTTATCATCAACCTACCTTGGCACTTAGGTACTCAACTCAATTAAAATATTCTCCGCAAAAGGGGATGGCAGAACCTTTAGAAAAAGGGTAAATCTGTGGAGTAATCCCTATTCTATTGAATACACGCAGAAGACCCACAAAGACTTGTAGGGGCATTCCATTTTCCTCAACCCTGATTATTTCTTTTTTCCGTTCCCAGAAAACCCCGTGTTCTCCCTTTTCCTCCTTTCTACTGTGCTTCCCACTCACCAGCCAATCTACCCTTACTTGCCCCCCCGTCCTCAGCTTTCCCTCCTACCCTTCCCCCGGCAGCCTCTCCCCAGGGAAAGTCTAGTTCAGGGGTGGCCAAACTTGCTTAACGTAAGAGCCACATAGAATAAACATCAGATGTTGGAGAGCTGCAAGACATGAACAAATATTACACACATTTTAAATTGAAAAATAGGCAAATTTGCTTTTTTATTAACATTAAATAAGAAATAAATAGAAACAAAAGGGGTAAAACAGATATTGATAATATTTATTTGTCCATGGCATTTATTTGTTTGCTAATATTTATTTGTCTAAGAGAGGCGGGGGGAGTGGGGGAGGGAGGGAGGTGGAAAGAAAGAATGAAAGAGGTGGAAAGAAAGAAAGCAAACAGATGGGGGAGGGAGGGAGAGGTGGAAAGAAAGCAGCTTTAACTTTAAATACATCCTCCAAGCCCCCGCCCCCATGCCAGCTGGTTTGGCTTAGGGAAGGGATTTAAAGAGACAAATGCCTTCTCCAAGCCAGGGGTGGGGGCTTTGAGAATGCATTTAAAGTTAATGTTGCTTTCTTTCTCTGCTCCCCCAACCTCAAGCCTACCCAGGGAGGGAAACATTGGCTGGGGAAGGGAAGACCGATCAGGGAAGTATACCTCCCCTTCGCTTCCGCAGCCACCCTGTTGGGAGCCGCATAATATGTGTGAAAGAGCCGCATGTGGCTCCCGAGCCGCAGTTTGGCCACCCCTGGTCTAGTCTAATAGCTCAGTGCAGCCCAGCCAGTGCACTTTGAGAAGCTGTATGATGCCACCCAGGTTGGGCTCAGTTTAAGGCTGCCAACTCCAGTTTGAGAAATCCCTGAAGATGTGGGTAAGTGCAAGGTGATGCACAGTGGAACAAAAATTCCTAACTTTAAATATAGGCTGATGGGGTCTGAATTTCACAAGACTAGCCATAGCAACTAAGAGGAACAGATAGAGTTAGGGCTTTTTTTTCTGGGGGAACGCGCTATAACAGAGTTCCGGAACCTCTTTAACAAATTCTTTTTAAAATGTTTTAAAGTTCATGAGTTTTCAGTATACCGGCTGAAAACTTTATTTCCCTCTTGAGAATTCTGGCACCTCTTTTCTTTTTCTTTTTTTTAAAAAGCCCTGGCTAGAGTAAACCTTTAGGAAGCAGATCTCTGGTCTGATCTAGCATGGCTCTTCTTATACTGTTATTTGGTATGGGGTAATTAATTTTTCTTAATTGTAACAAAGTTCTCTCTCTCTCATAATATAAGGCTGAGGGGGGATGAAGTTGATGGGTAATAGATGTAAGATAGTTATAATTTCCTATAAAGTGAATCTGTAGGTGAGGAGCAGGGAATTTTTTTAATCATAGGATGTGTTTCCAGTTGCTTCTACTTAAGAAAGGATAAGCAAGGGGGACCCCACCAGTGCCTTGATCTAGTTCTGATCACAACACATTAGTCAATTTACCCTCTGCAAGTTAACAATCCCTATTCAAGCACCACCATCTTAAAACCAGTTTAGCTTTATTTTATTTATTTATTTTTGCAATAGGACTGAAGAAAGAAAAACTCAACATGCCCCCATGAGAAAGGACCAATTCTGTTCTTAAGGAAAATACTAGCAATACATCATGCTCCAGAAATAAGGACTCGCAACAGGGAATACCACTAGTAGCCCCTTGGTGGAATTAAAAAGGCAGAAGATAATTTTTCAAAGCATAAATGGAAGCCTCTTTAATGAATTGCTTTTGTGAGCCAACGCAAGAGCTGGAACAGAAAAATAATTTCACATTACATAATTCAGTGCAGTGGAAATATCTGGCCCTCTATAATATTCCTAGCACTTGAGATCTCTGGTATTAAACATCCAAGCACATCTGATTAGGCAGCAGAAGGAATCTCTGTTCTTTCCAAAGACAACCACAGGTTCCTGGAAAGAATACAGAAAGCTTACCCTGGCCTTTACCACATTACCACAGTTCCTAAAGTGGCTTTCCAGTGAAAGAGAATTTCTCAGGATTTAAAGAAGAACAGACTTTCCTCTGGTTTTAATATGATCTCAGTTCACTGCTTCATTAATATTAACTAATCAAGAAATAATACACATAGTGGAATACCTGCATTCAAAAGTGGGTTAACTACTTACAAAGTTTAAAAACTAGTCTGATCAATTATTTTTAATTGCCCAGAGTACCTCAAAAGCATGCAAATGTCAGAGAACTCGACTTTCCAAAAAGTCTTGGAAAAGGGATAACCAAAAACCAGAATATATGCACACAATACACATTTAGTCAGCACGGCCTTCTGACTGCATCCTCACAACTCACATCAGAGCTACTGAGTTAATGAGTTACAACCCAAAAGATGTTTTATAGATCATGAATAGTGTCAAGGAAGTTGGAAGTGATCCAGTTAGTTTATTTCTTCATTGTTCCTTCCCCGTGTGACTGAAGGAAAAAGTTTCTAAAGAGACTGGGAAAGGTGGGACAGGGGAGATTCCCAAAAGACAATTGCTTATTGTAAAATAATTTCTCATACTAGGCCATTTTCTTTCAAGCTCTCCCTACAAAGTTTTCTGTAGCCCTTAACTGTCCTCAAAAGCTTGCCTCAAAGAATACAGCACTATCATCAAGAATTCTCTCTCTTCTTGGCCCAAATTCTCAATATGTTTCACTGTTTCCTCTGAATGGTGACATGGGTTACCAGTGAAGTCAGCATGGCTGTTACATAATACGCTCTGCAGCTTGTTCATTACATACGGCAGTATATTCATTCCCCCATTCCCCAAATTACAGACGCCGAAGCCCATTAAATTTGCAAAAAAACACATTTAAAACCAAACCTGTTAAGCTATGAATGGAACCTCTAATTTTCCTTTCCAAAACACAGAGCAGCCAAAAGACGAAGAGAGCATGGCTGGGGGAGGGAGAGATCTCCAAAATACACATCTGGAACTAATCTGAGACATGTAGCCACTGGGTGTCACTTCTGATATATTCTGGGTCAGCCACAGAACACTTCATGGCAGGAAAAATGTATCCCAACAAGAGAAGCATCATAACCAAAACAGACTGAGTGGAGAGGTCTCCAGTACCCAGTCTGTACTTAATAATCGATCAGAAAATGCTGTTTATAGAACAGATCTTACCTTTCTGTCTGTAGTGTGACTTTGGAAGGCTCCACATTTGGGTTCTCCCATTCCATCTGGGGGCAGTGCATAAAATAACAAAGCGTGTACAATGCCTCCGGTTCCCAGTATAGTGATCCCGGCTTGTGATGCATGGGAGTGCTGTTGCTATGCTGCTTTGCACAGAGTGGCTGAAGGTGATGCATTGCTCGAGCCACCAAGTCACCTGGAAGAAGAGAGTTAGGGTCACTGTGGGGTCTTGTGAGCAAAAATGCTACTTTGTTTAATTTGTATCCCGTCCTCCCTGAAAGATATGTTAAAACAAAAGATTTGAGTAAAACCACAACATATGAAACCAAAGGTGCTTGTAAAGATAAATACTGTGTTTTACCTTACTCCTTATCTCAGGGGTACAAAGTATTTACCCCCTGCAAGTGTAACCAATGTTGAATCCCAACTTGTCATTATTATTATATTAATATTATTCTTAATAAAAAATTGTTATTAAAAAAAACCACAACATAGATACTAATAATGATGGCAGCATTCTCTCAGCATCGAAATAGTCAACTGCCACCATAGTCTGGGTTCTTGCCAGGCTGTTGGTTATTACGTTGGTACTGATATTGGGGCCAGGGCCACGGTATTAAAAGGCGGCACCCTAAAGTAATTTGGCTACTGCATAAATTAGTTTGCTCTGAAGCCATCCTTCCTGAGCTAAGGCAAAAATGTGTGAGGAAGAAACTAAAAAACTGTGAGCTAGCTCACACTAACTCAGCTTAGAGGGGACACTGCTCACTGATAGGTCTACTATTGTCTCACAGCCTCAAACTCTGAAACTTCTTTTGCAATCATGAATCATACAAACTATGTTCACACAAACAAGAGCAAGCAACATGAGGTTGTTCTGTCCCGTTTATTCAGAAGAGCAGAACTTACTTCTGTACTTTTCACCCCATGATGAGGTTTATAAAGGAAGCCACAGGAAAGTACTGTGTCAGGGAATGAGAACACCCCCACTGCCAGAGCTACATCCCCTGGACCTACCCAGGAGTTGCAGTGCGCTCACAGGCCAATAACAAGGAGGATTTCTACAACAGCAGCAACACAGTATGAGCCCTTCAAGGGCCCAGTTCAGTCACTGCCAACAGCTTTCAGCAGTTTAGTCTAGCCAGAGCCATGGGAGGGGAAAAGAGGAATAGCTGCTTGCCAACTGACTGCCTTCTCTTGGCATTCCTTTTAAAATAGCATGTCCAAGATGGTGGAGGTCTATGTGATACAGAGAACCACTACCAACATCAAAAATAATGAAGTATATTTATTAAAAAGGAGATGTCCACAAACATACTTTTAGCATAGTCCCAGACTGAACAAGGGATTCAAAAGAAATGGGTAAAATGCAATTCCTCTGTCCCTCTCTCTATACATGCCCTATCAGATGTTAAAATATAGGACAGGCTCCTTTTGCTTAGGAAGTCACAGATCTCTACAGAGTTTCAACTACCTTGAAGTTTCCTTCAGCTCCTCAATAGCTGCCTCCTCCAGACCTCAGTTAAGAGTTCTGCCTACTCTGATGGACTCAGCACCCAAAAGAGCTTCCTCCTCACTCCCCTGAGTTTTATCACCTCTCTTTTCTCCAACCACTGACCAGGTCAGGTCAGAGAAGCTTTTCTTGAAGTCTCCAGAATTTTCCTTCCTGAAGTCTGTCTAGTATTTAATTCATTCAAAACTCTGTTTCCTGCTTGGAAAGTGGGGGGAGTTTGACCCACCCCTTATCTCTCCTGCTAGATCTATTAGCGTTTGCATGAAGGTGGGCTGAGGTAAGTTTGGAAAGCAACTGAACTGACTTCCTCCTCTTCCTGCCTGCTCTCTGCCCAGAGAGAGAGAGAGAAAAACTTTTAAAAACTCAAAGTGAAGAGTTTGTTCATTTCAAACCTCCAAAAGAAAATACATTTCTTCACACAGCCATCAAAAAACTTTTGAATGTTTTTGTAATGCTTGTCTAAAGCATACAAGTTAGAAGGATGACAGAATAAAATTTCCAGTAAAACGGGGCTGGGCTTTAGCAACCTATATCACTCTCTGCCCCTTTTCATGATAAAGCAGACTAAATTATGTAAAACAGAACTAATGCAAACTAAATTGTTAAGTCCGGTGCTTAACAAAATAGTCAGAGAGTGATTTCAGCAAAACTCAGGTTTATTTCAGCTCGACGATCACTTCTCTAACACGGTACAACTTCTGATAGTCCGAACAGCTTTTCCATTGCAGCTGCTCGGTATTTAAACATTCCCGGCTAATGTAGCCACTCCTACTATACAGATATCAACCTATCAGGTTGAGCGAATAAGGACCAATCAGAATCTTTCCCGCTCATATACATTTGAACCTGATTGGTCGCATTAGTCTTGGACTTCAATCCCTGTTCAAGACGAAGCTTAACACTGCTTCCTTATGAGATGTTTCACATTACATCTTAACGCATGGCAGCTTCTGAATACATTACAAATCCCTCCCCCCTAAGCAAATACAGTCATGAACAATCATAATCGCTTAGGTAGGTAGGTGCACGGCGATTTCTCTGAGACCTCCTCGGTGGACTAGGCTCAGGGCATATTTCTGTCAGTGGCACTCCATTCGACTCTGGGACCGCAGAGTCAGGAACACTTCCATCCAATTCTACTGGTTCGAGAGTAGGGGTCTGCCCTGCCTCAGGAACAGCACTGATGCCCTCAGGCCCATCAGTACTCACCTCCTGTGGAGGTCTGGGAAGGTCCTCGGGGTTTAGGGACTCAGCTGGCAACGCGTTGGGACGGTCAGTTGCCCACCGCTGCCTCAACTGGTCTATGTGCCTACGCCACTTGCGACCATCAGCAAGACGTACCACATACATACGAGACCCTACTACATCCACAATAGTGGCAGGTAGCCACGAATGACCACTGGCATAGTTACGAGCATACACTTGCTCACCTTTTTCGTATAGCGGTGGCACTGTCAGTTGCCCACCGCTGCCTCAACTGGTCTATGTGCCTACGCCACTTGCGACCATCAGCAAGACGTACCACATACATACGAGACCCTACTACATCCACAATAGTGGCAGGTAGCCACGAATGACCACTGGCATAATTTCTGGCATACACT